ATTCATTCATTCATTCATTCATTCATTCATTCTTTCTTTCTTTCTTTCTTTCTTTCTTTCTTTCTTTCTTTTACCTTTTTGGACTACTGTTTGTCTAGGTCTTTTTGCCTGCTGGGCAGTGCAGGTAAAGGACTGATAGAGACGTAGGGGGACTAGGGAGAAAGGGGGGCTTTGTGCCTCTTGCCTACCCTAATAGAGCTTTTTAAAAAGATTTTTAGTCTTTTTGGATTTAAAAAGAATTGTTACTTCATTTCTATTTTGTATGAAGCCTTGAAAATGGTAATATTCTTGCTTATGCATTAAAGTGACTTTATTTTGTAAATCTTTATATCTTTTTAAATAAAATAATAATATAAAAATCAATTGGCCTCTTGAACAGTATAGCTGTCTTAGTATTACCCTGAGAAAAGATTTTTAGTCTTTTTGGATTTAAAAAGAATTGTTACTTCATTTCTATTTTGTATGAAGCCTTGAAAATGGTAATATTCTTGCTTATGCATTAAAGTGACTTTATTTTGTAAATCTTTATATCTTTTTAAATAAAATAATAATATAAAAATCAATTGGCCTCTTGAACAGTATAGCTGTCTTAGTATTACCCTGAGGGGGAAATTTTGGCCACATTTACACTACTTAGTCCTATCCTGTTGAGCACAGTGAGTCTAAAGACTACATCGTTCGTGTGTTTTTATTTCTTGGTATTTTCTAAGGTTGCTGAAGTATCTTTTTTAGGGCAGACTTGTAAGCAGAAGTTTTGGGGCGGCCCTTGGCTGAGGTTACCAGGACTCAACTCAGCTGAATGAGGGGGCACAGGCTTCTAATTACTCTCTGTCTGAACGGTCAAGCAACTCTTAGGAGAGCTGATCGCTCACAGGGGGCAGCAGAAGTAGAAACAGGTAATTGATGTTGTCCCTCTTGTCTTCTGATCTATTGCTACACTGCCCATACTGACACTGATAGATAAGTTATGTGCTCACATGTGCATTGGCATGCTTCCTTTTGCCATTAGGTCTTATGTTATGTCCCTGTCAGTCAATCATCTATATACAATGAGCCCACTAAGGCACCAGTGACAGTCTTTCTTCATCAGGGCTCAAAGAATAGAAGCTGATTGGAAACCTCCAGTTAGTGAACCTGCAACTACCCTCAGCAGGAGTCATGGTTCCCAAAGGCAGCCAAGTGACATGGTAAACCTCACAAGCACCTCTCTCCACCCCAGCAATAAAAATACAAAAACAAACACTTAACCGTTTGTGTGCTTTCGTGATCCCCAAAATCTGGTTATGGGAGCTGCCTTGCATTGCCTAACAGTAGGGACAACACTGTCAGCCTGCAAAGACTTCAGCCCTGAATCAGTGGATCTGTTTATGATCTTTATCCACACACATGGACTTCCTCCATGATCAGGGCAGTTGTGCAGAAACAAAAGCACGAACAGGTAACAGTCCCACTGATACTGTTTTAACACAATGCTGTTGGGTTTCCATTTTGCCAGTTCAGGCTTTGGATTGGATAACTATGCTGATGATTTGCATTTGAGGACTAACTTTTCGTTGGGGAATATTAATTTTTCATTTAGTAAATGAATGGCTGATGAAATTTAAAAAAAGCAGAGAGGAGCGACACTTACTTCTTCCAGAAGTGTAATAAAATCGGGAAGATAGAGATGATGGCAACATGATAAAGGGTCCTGTTCAGCACACCTTCAGCAATTTGACTCCGGATTTGAGCCACCTGTGCATCTGTGAGGTTGACCTGGCCGTGGAAAAGAAGCCAGAATGTTCAGTGGGTGGCACAAGTGCAAACATCCATCAGGGCACACAAACAAAGACAAATGTTTCAAAGAACAAGTGATTTGGCAGGCTGTCTGGTCACTAAGATCCTATCTCTAAAACAAAAGGCTGAATAGAAGCCTGAAGCCTGCATGTGGAACTGTCTATGGAGAGGATAGAGGCACCTTTACAGGTAATTGGTCCCAAATTGTGACAAAAGATAGGCATGAGTGAAATGCAAGGTATAAATGTGGTAGGTAGGTAGGTAGGTAGGTAGGTAGGTAGGTAGGTAGGTAGGTAGGTAGGTAGGTAGGTAGGTAGGTAGGTAGGTAGGTAGGTAGGTAGGTAGGTAGGTAGGTAGGTAGGTAGGTAGGTAGGTAGGTAGGTAGGTAGGTAGGTAGGTAGGTAGGTAGGTAGGTAGGTAGGTAGGTAGGTAGGTAGGTAGGTAGGTAGGTAGGTAGGTAGGTAGGTAGGTAGGTAGGTAGGTAGGTAGGTAGGTAGGTAGGTAGGTAGGTAGGTAGGTAGGTAGGTAGGTAGGTAGGTAGGTAGGTAGGTAGGTAGGTAGGTAGGTAGGTAGGTAGGTAGGTAGGTAGGTAGGTAGGTAGGTAGGTAGGTAGGTAGGTAGGTAGGTAGGTAGGTAGGTAGGTAGGTAGGTAGGTAGGTAGGTAGGTAGGTAGGTAGGTAGGTAGGTAGGTAGGTAGGTAGGTAGGTAGGTAGGTAGGTAGGTAGGTAGGTAGGTAGGTAGGTAGGTAGGTAGGTAGGTAGGTAGGTAGGTAGGTAGGTAGGTAGGTAGGTAGGTAGGTAGGTAGGTAGGTAGGTAGGTAGGTAGGTAGGTAGGTAGGTAGGTAGGTAGGTAGGTAGGTAGGTAGGTAGGTAGGTAGGTAGGTAGGTAGGTAGGTAGGTAGGTAGGTAGGTAGGTAGGTAGGTAGGTAGGTAGGTAGGTAGGTAGGTAGGTAGGTAGGTAGGTAGGTAGGTAGGTAGGTAGGTAGGTAGGTAGGTAGGTAGGTAGGTAGGTAGGTAGGTAGGTAGGTAGGTAGATAGATGCACTCTCATTCCTCAGATGCATTGTGATTGCAATCCATGGAAGCTTGTGCCAAATAGAATGCTGAAAGACTCATGGGCCATGATGACCCTGTTCCGTTATGCAAAGTGTGGAAGGATGATTTCATAAGCATTCCCAATGCTCCCGCATGCCCAGTTTTGCACTGATTGCCAGACTGGCTGCGCAACCAAGCAAGGGCTTGGTCATGCAGTGGGGTTTGCCAGAGCAGGGAGAAGTTTCAGTGATTTCCCTTACCAAGACACTAGCCTCCTTGGTTTTGCTGTGATTGTTATCTGTTGTGTTGTTCTAATATTTTTAGCAGCTGTAGATCAATCATAGATTGAATTGTTTAATCAATGCAGATAAAAACTGCTCTCCCAAACCCACTGAAAAAAACCCACCCCTGCTTTAAACCAATATGTTTTACCTCTTACAATAAAAAAAATAAAAATGGGCGCTCAAGTCAATTCTGACATTCGGTGACTCTTTTCAGGGTTCTCTAGGTAGAGACTACACAGAAGTGGTTTACCATTCCTATCTTCTGGGGGCATCCTGGGACTGTGCAGCTTGCCCACAGGCTGGCTCTTTTCACCGGAGGCGCAGTGGGGTATTGAACTCCCAACCTTTAGCTCCACAGCCAGATACCTAAACCGCCAAGCTTTATAACAATAATCAGACAGTGCTTAAGGCCACTAGATACCCCTTACATCTTAAGTACTTACATCCAATCTGATACACAAGGGTGCATGCATTTATTTGGGAGGAGGGGAATGGCTGCTTCCCTAGGCTCCCAATGTTGTTTCTGTCAGCCCTGCTGCCCCACGCTTACCCTCAGTTTAGGTGGGATGTCTGAATTCAAAAACAGTTTGTTGATGGTGGCCACTTTGCTCTTCAGAAAGGCAATATCTTTCTCTGTATACAATCCCAGGGTGGTCAGCACCACCACTGAGTCAGCCAGGTGGAAAAACCTGTAATAAGAGTAAGAACTAATAAGAAAGTCCGGGTGATAGAGAGGGAAACTCAGTCACAAAACCTGAGGCTGGATAAGATTGTTGTCAGAGACAGCTAAATTCAGATTGAACAATGCATCACACCCTCCTCTAGGCATTTCAGTGCTGATAATTGGAAAACAACCACATACTGGTCCCATACTGGTTCTTATCAGTCATGTGGACTTGAGGCCAACCCATGCAGGCAGAAGCTCCTCCCAGTTAATGATGTAAACCACCATTATATACTCATTGTTCTCAGCTTTAAATATTGTCTTTCAATGATGAAAGCTGCCTTGGGTCCTTTTATAAGGAGAAAGGCGGGCTAAAAGTATTTTTAAATATATAAAGTACTGCAAAGAGCCTGGAAAGTGGAACACTCACTAGAAACTGACTGTAGGTAGCCAGCCGACGGACTGCACTGAGTGAAAACACCATGTTCCACCCAGCCTGGTTTCTGGAGCTCAGAAAGCTTACTTCTTCAGATTACAGCTTCTGAAAATCCCCAGGCAACATGGCGCTCAGTAATCTATGAGATGGCCATCTACAGAGCTACTTCCAGAACAAGAGGTAGGGCTGCCATTTCATCTGCTGGGGGCCAAACCAGAGTGGATAGAAGAAACAAGTCATTTGGGGCCCTACTCCTGTGATACAAGAACACTGATTGGCATAGACTTAGAGGGAGAAAGAACAGACGCTCACTCACTTCTCCACCTCTAGGTAAAAATAGAGGTCATTGACCAGGAAGTTGACAGAGATGATACGGTTGCCAAATATCTTGCGTTTCACTTGCACCACTTCAACATCCTCTGAAATACCTGAAAGTGCACCAGAACGCCCACTGGGTCCACTAACGCTCATACGTGTTGGGCCCTGGACTGGCAGATCTGAAAAGAGAAAAGGGAGAAACTCTAAACGTGCTGTCCTCTGAAGATGCCAGCCACAGAGACTGGCAAAACGTTAGGAAGAACAACCTTCAGAACACAGCCAAAGAGCCCGAAAAACCCACAACAACCATCTACAGTAAACGTATCAATGTCTATAAATATCTGTTGGTTGCCAGAGGTCATTCATAAATGCAATTCATAGATTCAGTACAGGAAGGCACAGGATACATTTAGCTGAGACAACAAAGTCTCAGAGGAAAACTAGACAAGACTCCAGCTTTGCAATTACGAGCTAAAATACTATCTCTGAAGCAAGGCATTCTTCAAAGCTGCTATATTAGCACAATCTACATACAAACATCATTGTTTGCCTGATGACCAATCACCAAACAACAGCAAACTAATTTGCAGCTTGCAAGGCTGCTAATTTTCACTGGAGGATTATTTATTTATTTATTTATTTATACAAGACTCCAGCTTTGCAATTACGAGCTAAAATACTATCTCTGAAGCAAGGCATTCTTCAAAGCTGCTATATTAGCACAATCTACATACAAACATCATTGTTTGCCTGATGACCAATCACCAAACAACAGCAAACTAATTTGCAGCTTGCAAGGCTGCTAATTTTCACTGGAGGATTATTTATTTATTTATTTATTTATTTATTTATTTATTTATTTAGATGTCAAGTGGCTGCAGCAAATCCAGTCACCAGTATATAGCTGTAGGGACCAGGAGTACTGTCATCCTGGTTCCCTTGAAATCTTTGGGGTGATACATAGTATAATGAAATGTTCTTACTAAGGCAGCTATGCTTCTAATTGCAAAGCTGCTACCTCATCTAGTTCAGCCTTTCACTGTTCTGTACTGAAATATCCTGGAAAAATTCATTACATCCCAGCTAATAATATCAGGCACCAATGTCTGTAGATACATTACTTTAGCTAAAGGGGGGGGGGAGTCTGTGCATCTTATGGAACGAAGCTGGTGATTTCGCTCCCACTGGCCCCGTGGGGGGCGGAGCCTCCCAAGGGT